GGAGGGGGGAGGGTGGTTTCCGGTTCCGATGAACTTCTTGACTGCAAACGCCAAGCTTGGGTTTTCCTCTCGACAGGATGGAGAGGCTGGAAGACCAGAAATGCTTCTCCAAAGGAGGGGACTCTTCATCAGTGGCTTCTTTAAACAACAACAACCAGTTGACATCGAGTAGACTCCGGTGCATGGTGATCCCATGTGTGTCAGAGTAGAACTGTGCTCCATAGGGTTTTCAATGGCTGAATTTTTTTGGAAGTAGAGCTCCAGGCCTTTCTTTTGAGGAGGCGCTGAGTGAACTGAAACCTCCAATCATTTAATTAGCAGTCAAACACATTAATTTGCATAACCCAGGGACTCTAGTGGCTTCTTACAATTTGTTAAATTTGTGGAGGCAGAACCCCCATTAACACTAACTCGGGAAGGGTGGTCCCCCCCCCCCCCAGCAAATAACAACATGTTGGCCAAGCCCTCACCTACTGACCTCACCTCTGATTATTCTCTTTTCTCTGCGTCAGCCGTCCTGGGTTTTTTTTGCTGTTCCTGGAACAGGACAGGCAAGCTGCTGTATCAGACCCTTTGCATTTGCTCTCTCCTCTGCCTGGAACTTTTTCACTAGGCATCCCCAGCGCCTGCTACCTCTCCTCTCTCAGGCCCGTCCTCAAATGCCCCCTTCTCAGCGAAACCTTCCTACCTTACGCATTCTGTCAACACCTGCATTCTGAGCTTCACCTCCCTGCCCCCACGCACATGCTTTCTCTCTCCTTCCCTTAGCACCTTTACCCTCTAATCTACTGTATATTTATTCTACTGATTGATCTGGTTGACTGTCTCCCCTAGCTGAAAGTAAGTTCCATGAGGGCAAGGATTTTGTGTTTGGTTTCCTCGGCACTCTTAGCACCTAGAATACGGTGTAGTCAGTACTCAATAAATACACGGTGGATGAATGAAGGAATGAATCCTAACTATGACACTTCGTAACCGGGAAGGCTTACAGCAAATTAATTTTTCCAAGCCTCATGTCTGCATATGTAAAATTGGGGTGATAATTTCTACCCTCCTGTTGTGAGTTTTGCACAGGATTACAAAAGTTTGCACCTAGCACAGTGCCTGCATGTACTCAGTATGTGCGGGCTTAGTTATTGACTTGGTGAATTCAATGAAAGAAATATTAATAATAGTAACAAACATATGTAGGATACTTCCTATGGGCCAGGAACTGCTGTAAGCACTTTATGTACACTCACTCACTTAATTCTTACAACACTAAGTGAGGTAAGTACTGCTGTCTTTGTCATCCTTGTTTTGTGAGTTAGTCTCCATCGAGTCGGCTCTCACTCATGACGACGTTGTGTGCAACAGAATGAAAGGTTGCCTGGTCCTGTGCCATCTGATTGAACAGTATTCTGTTGTGATTCATGGGGTTTTCATTGGCTAAATTTAAGCAGTAGATTGCCAAGCCTTTCTGCCTTGTCTTAGTCTGTGAGTTCTGCTTGAAACCAGTCTACCACAGGTGACCCTGCTGGTATTTGAAATATTGGTGGCATAACTTCCAGCGTCAGCGCAAAACACAAGCTACCACAGTACAACAAACTGACAGATGGGTGGTGGATTCTTGTTTTCGGGATAAAGAAACTAAGAGAGTAACTTGTTTATGGCTATATGACTAGTAAGTCAGAGCCTGGACTTGAACCAAGGCCATCTGTCTTCAAAGTCCATATCTCAACCACTTCACCATACTGTCTCCTCATGGAAAAAAGACACAATTTATATAATACAGGCATAGAAAAATCTATTTAATAGGGAAACCCTATTTTTGCACATTTTAATTTGTAAACTAGTGGGATGCCTTTCATGGATCAGACATGAAGCTAATTCAATTCTAAATAAATTGTAATATTTAAATATTGGCCAAATTGTATTTAACTCCGCATCATGGAAGATATCTTTGACTACAAAATGCTATTGTTGAGAAAATATTTGGACACTGTGTTTATTTAGTCACAGTGTATAGGAACAAAAATACATTTATATTTTAAAATAGAGAGCAGTGTCATTTAGTTTCCAAAGCATAGTGGAAACAAAAACCAGGACCATGTAGACACACCCTAACCTAGCACCTGCTTTTGAGGCTGCCTCAAGTATTATTGACCTGTTTTTCTTGTGAATTGGCTTCGGTGACTTGTGATTCCTGTGCATCTAGCATATCTCGTAACCAGCGGTCATCCATAGTCTATTTTAAATTTGGTCGTTAAATGTGAGGTTTCGTTCATGAGAACCAGCTCATTGGGGCCCTGTCTTCTGCACTCATGATGCTGGTTCTACAGGTCACTGCATACCCAACAGAGATGCATGCACACACAAACTTTCCAAATCATCTTTAAAAGTTTTCAGTTCTCTTTTTTCTTTTTTTGGTTTCTATTGCCTTCCCAGTAATGGGCAAGACACTGCCAGTTTGTCTTGCTTCTTTTGATTTATCCAGAAGGCCTTTATGGCCCAAGAGTTCAGTTGGCACCACATTTTAATTAAGCACTTTTTTTTTTAATTGTTATGCTTTAAGTGAAAGTTTACAATTCAAGTTAGTCTCTCATATAAAAATTTATACATACATCATTATGTGACCCTAGTTGCTCTCCCTATACTGTGACAGCACACTCCTCCTTTCCACCCTAGGTTTCCTGTGTCCATTCAATAAGCTCCTGACCCTCTCTGCCTTCTCATCTTGCCTCTGGACAGGAGCTGCCCAGTTAGTCTCATGTATCTACTTGAGCTGAGAAGCACACTCTTCACGAGTATCATTTTATTTCCTATAGTCCAGTCTAATCTTTGTCTGAAGAGTTGGCCTCGGGAATGGTTTTAGTTTTGAGTAGCCCTGGTTTTAATGTGGCTCTTTTTGTTGTAAGGAACAGAAAGCCAGCACAAGACAAGGAGCTTTAACATTCTGTATTATGTCACTATATTTGTAAATGATAAAGGAATGTTCATGGGAATCCAAGAACAGGAGCCATATTAAGTCTTGGCCTTAAGTGCCCAAAACTAAAAGGTGGTTCTAGATTCAAGGAGGCTTCCAGGCCCTGAGAAGCAGGAATTTATGGATCTTCAATTTTTATGATTAAACAACACAGGACATGTCTACTTCTGGTCCTTGTGACCACTGATGAATGCTTGCTTCAAATTCAGACAGAATCAAGTTCAGAGAGAATCTAATTGGTCTGGTGGTCGAGTCTTTCAGGGAAGACTAGAACTTCCTGGCCAGTCTGTGGATTTCTGCCTTTGCTCAGGGGCCAATGCCAGGACCAATCATCTGTGGTCAGAGGAGATGGGGCGTCAGGTACTAAACACAGTGCCTGGGCCTGCCCCTTCAGCAGGAAGTGTGGGCAGGGTGGATCCCCTCAGAAGAGGTTGTGGGTGGTGTGGCACAGTGCTGACCTTTCCAGAATACCATTTTGTAAGAGACAGGTGTGGTAGTCAAGTCACACAGTGGTATACCAAGGTGAGATGATGTTATACTGACCAAGATGCAGATGCAATTCAGAAAGATACCTATCAAGCCACGTGCATGCATCTTTGTAACTGGCACACTTGAAACAAGAAACAAATTTCACTGCTTTTTTGTGATATGTTTTATCTAAAAAAAATTTTTTTTTGTCTTTTGCCTGAGAAAATCCTGTGGCTTTCTCAGGCAGGGCCACCAAGTTTGAGTGAACAGATTCCATTCAGCACGATTCTAGCCGATGCTATTCACGAAGATTTCAGTGTGATAACCAAACCAAAGCTGAATTAATCTTTGTGATTGCCCAGCCAGTTAGTGAGGTTTTATTGTGACTGAGCTGGTCAAACCCATTGATATGTTATTACCATTCACTAAATATCCAAAGCACCAGTTTTAAATACAGGCAGAATGGATTGCTGTCTATGTGACTTCAGAGAGGTGCACAGGTTCCCTTGGGTCAAATGTGTGCCCCATGGCACTGGTGATCTCTTCTCTGAGAATTGGTCCGCTGCCACACAGGGGCCCTGAAGAACAGGGGTGTCTTAGTTATCTAGTGCTGCTATAACAGAAATATCACAAGTGGATGGCTTTAACAAAGACAAATTTATTCTCTCACAGTCTAGGAGGCTAGAAGTTCGAATTCAGGGTGCCAGCTCCAGGGGAAGGTTTTCTCTCTCTGTTCAGTCTGGGGGAAGGTCCTTTTCATCAGTCTTCCCTGGTCAAGGAGCTTCTCAGTACAGGAACCCCGAGTCCAAAGGACACACTATTCTCCTGGCTCGTGTTTCTTGGAGGTATGAAGTACCCATGTCTCTCTGTTAGCTTCTCTCTTTTATATTTTAAATGAGATTGACTTTAAAAAAAAACCTAATCTTGTAGATTAAGTCCTGCCTCATTAACATAACTGCCTCTAATTCTGCCTCATGAACATCATGGAGGCAGGATTTACAACACATATGAAAATCACATCAGATGACAAAATGGTTGACAATCACAAAATACTGGGAATCACGGCCTAGCCAAGTTGACATACATTTTTGGGGGACACAGTTCAATCCATAACAAGGGGATATAGGATGAGAACATTCAATCAGGGTGAGAGGTTAAAGAGCATGGGTTGAGATTCAGATCTGGACGCATTGATGCAATGGGTATGGGATAGTTGTGGGAGGAGAGCTGATATAAAGACTAAAGCCATGACAACCTGCCTTCATTACAATTCTGGCAAACACAAACCTCCTTGACGAAGACCAAAGCCTTACGCTCAAGGTAATTCTCTTAAGATGACTCACTACACATGGCAGGCATCGGTGACCTGCGTTTCTCTGAGTTGCACTCTTTTTGCTTGAGTCCCCAGAACAAATCAGTCTCTCCTGATACTGGGGGTCCACACACTCTAGCTATGTTTCCTCTTGTGGCCCTGTCTTAGGCTGGGTTCTCTACAGAAGCAAAACCAGTAAAGGGCATAAATATGTATATATATATAGAGAGAGAGAGATTTATATCAAGGAAATGACTCATGCAGTTGTAGAGGCTGGAGTGTCCCAAGTCCGTGGGTCAGGATAGATGCTTCTGACTCATGTAGCCGCAGGGGCTGGCAAACCCAAGATTGGCAGGTCAGAGAGCAGGGCTTTTGCTCACAGCCTTAGAAGACTGATGAATCCCAAGATCAGCAAGCAAGATCACAGGTAAGCTGCTTGCTCAAGCCCCAAGAACTGGAGGTCAGACGAACAGGAGCCAGCTGCAGGATCCAGCACAAGTGAAAAAACCCCGAGTCTTTCCAGAATGTCCACTTACATTTGATGCAGACTACATGCCCAAGGAAACTCCTTTTCAGCTGATTGGTACTCACAGCAGATCCCCCATCATGGGGGTGATCACATATCAAATCTCAACATGGAAGTGATCACAACATTATATGACTGCCAAAATACTGAGAATCATGGCGCAGGCAAGTTGACATACAATCTTAACCATCACAGGCCCACATCACTTTTTTAGCTGTATTTAGAATCACTATCTGATTTTCCCCTACCCCTGGATGGAAATTTCTTTTAGGAAAAGATCAAGATCTGATTCATCCTGGTGTCCTCGCCACTGCTTGGAACATGCCAGGCATTTCATAAATATTTTTTTTGGATGAATGAGAATAAAAACCTATATTGCCATTTGGGTTACCAAATCAACTGTTGTCCCTGCAGATTCATTGTTCTGCATGGTGATGGTATTTGGCACAGGATGGGATCTCCTGTGGGATTGTTGTTGATTGAAGCTAATTTCAGTGCCAAATTTATTTTAATTTTCAAATGTCTCTCATATAGGTACTGTGAAACACCATCTGTATATCTGTTAATATTTGGAAGTGTACACAGGCACAGATGATTATCAGAATGAAGATGGAATTCCTAGGGGCAGATCACGAAAACTCCTTGAGTTCAGAGGAAGAGAAGGAACAAGAGGAGATTAATAGCTATGTTTATTGACAATTTATCATGTGCCGGGCCCTGTTATAAGCACTTTACATATATTACCTCATTTAACACTCACAACAGACCTATGAGGAAGGTACTAGTATTATACCATTTTAAAGATGAGGCTGGTGCATAAGAGGGCAGGTTGCCCTTTGCTCCATACAATCAGGTTTGCCAGACTCCTGGGATTCCTTTTCTGGTCTTCCTTTTTCCCTCCCTTTCTGCTCCTTTACCTTCTCAGGAAGTCTTGGGGTCAATTAGGAGGTGATGATCCTTCCTAGTTTGACTTCATTCATGCTGGTTTTTAACTGGTTTCTCTGCAGGAAGCCCAGATCTTTACTTTCTTCAAAACAGAGTGTCTGTAAGATGGGCAAATTCATT